GGACGCTATTTTGGATTGTCTTTGTTTTTTTTTTTCATTGAAACTCTTGGCCTGATTTACCAAAGAACAAACAAACATAATAAAAGTCCACTTTTAATAATTTTTTCTTGGTTATTGTACATCACATTTTTTAAATTATTAAGAACAAAAAAGTGTTGCTTTTTTAAGAGCACTTATTTGTTTAAAAAAAAAAAAAAAAAAGGGGACACTATTTTGGATTGTCTTTGTTTTTTTTTCATTGACACTCTTGGCCTGATTTACCAAAGAACAAACAAAACATAATAAAATGCAGTTTTTAATAATTTTTTCTTGGTTATTGTACATCACATTTGTGAAATTATAAGGAAAAAAGTTCTGATTTTTTAAGAGCACTTATTTGTTTAAAAAAAAAAAAAAAAAAAAAAAGGAGACACTATTTTGGATTGTCTGTTTTTTTTTTAATTGACACTCTTTGCCTGATTTACCAAAGAACAAACAAAACATAATAAAATGCAGTTTTTAATCATTTTTTTCTTGGTTATTGTACATCACATTTGTGAAATTATAAGGAAAAAAGTTTTGATTTTTTAAGAGCACTTATTTGTTTAAAAAAAAAAAAAAAAGGGGACACTATTTTGGATTGTCTTTGTTTTTTTTCATTGGAACTCTTGCCCTGATTTACCAAAGAAAAAACAAAACATAATACAATGCCATTTTTAATCATTTTTTTTCCTGATTATTATACATCACATTTTTGAAATTGTATAAAAAAAAGTTTTGCTTTTTTAAGAGCACTTTGAAAAAAAAGGGAGAGGCTATTTTGGATTCTGTTTTGTTTTTTTTTTCATTGAAACTCTTGGCCTGATTTACCAAAGAATAAACCAAAACAATTAAAAGGTTAGGTAAAAAACATAACGTAATAACAATTTTTAATAAATTTTTTTCTTGGTTTTTGTACATCACATTTTTTTAATTATTTGAAAAAATGTTTTTGCCTTTTTTAGAGCACCTTGTTGAAAAAAGAAGATATTGTGGATTGTCTGTTCTCTTTTTCTAATTAAAACTCTCTTGATTTACCAAAGAATGAGTCAAAGCAGGAATCTGTCATTATGGTATGCTTGGATTGCGGGCCTGCGCGCGCATGCGGATGTTATCATAGCTGATTGTACATTCAATGCAGGTGTTTTGGTCCTAGTTTCCAATACGTATTGAACATCCAGATAGTAATATGTATGGGTACCCTGGTAAGATCCACAACAGATTGAGCACGTCAACACTTTACTTCACCAATTTTCTACCAACACAATTTTTTTTTTTTTTTTTGCTAAATCTGCAATTGTTTGTTATAAAGTTATTTATTAACCATTTGCCACCCGCCCTATGGCCGAATGGCGGATGGCAAATGTCATCAGGCGTCCTCCCCCACATGCGCAGATTGCGCTCCTGCAGAGCCGCGCAGCGGCGCGATCTGTCACCGGCTGTGTACCTCGGACACGGCCGATGACAGATCTGAGTATCGGCCCTGTTTCCGGTACAATGTGACCTGCTGTGACCAATCACAGCAGGTCACATGACAGTTGTATACAATGGATGGCTTCATTCATGCTATCCATTGTATACTAGTGTCTAGCTGTGAATGGTCACAGTGATCACATTCACATGTCATGTGATTAGCTGTGGCCAAATCACAGCTAAGCACAAAAAAAAAAAAAAAAAAAAACCTGAATGAATCGATGTCATTCAGGTAAATGCTTGCTTATAGCAAAGTAATTCTTTGCTATAAGCAAATTGTGTAAAAAAAAAAAAAATACAGATCACTTCCCCAAAGTAGTACAATGTTACTATGGTGAGATTGTACTACTTTGGTTATAGTAAAATATGAAGAAAAAATCTTAAAAAAAAGAAAACAAATTTAATAAAAAATGAAAAAAAAAAATATATATATATTTTTTTTCATACTGTCACCAGTCAGTGTCCCTGATCACCACCATGCCAGTTATATGATGACGCTGTACTGCACTGGTGACAACATGTAAAAAAAAATAGCAAAACAATTTTTTTTTTTAATTTTTTCATTTTCCGAAAAAATATGACAAAAAAACTTCAAAAAACTCGCCATGCCTCTTATGAAGTATGTCGGGCTGTCTATTCTGCAAAAAGGGGTCATTTGGGGGATATCTGTACTGTCCTGACATTTGGGGGATATCTGTACTGTTCTGACATTTGGGGGATATCTGTACTGTTCTGACATTTGGGGGATATCTGTACTGTCCTGACATTTGGGGATATCTGTACTGTCCTGACATTTGGGGGATATCTGTACTGTCCTGACATTTGGGGGATATCTGTACCGTCCTGACATTTGGGGGATATCTGTACTGTTCTGACATTTGGGGGATATCTGTCCTGTTCTGACATTTGGGGGATATCTGTACTGTCCTGACATTTGGGGGATATCTGTACTGTTCTGACATTTGGGGGATATCTGTCCTGTTCTGACATTTGGGGGATATCTGTACTGTCCTGACATTTGGGGGATATCTGTACTGTCCTGACATTTGGGGGATATCTGTACTGTCCTGACATTTTGGGGATATCTGTACCGTCCTGACATTTGGGGGATATCTGTACTGTCCTGACATTTGGGGATATCTGTCCTGTCCTGACATTTGGGGATATCTGTACTGATCTGACATTTGGAGGATATCTGTACTGTCCTGACATTTGGAGGATATCTGTACTGTCCTGACATTTGGGGGATATCTGTACCGTCCTGACATTTGGGGGATATCTGTCCTGTCCTTACATTTGGGGGATATCTGTACTGTCCTGACATTTGGGGGATATCTGTACTGTTCTGACATTTGGGGGATATCTGTCCTGTTCTGACATTTGGGGGATATCTGTACTGTCCTGACATTTGGGGGATATCTGTACCGTCCTGACATTTGGGGGATATCTGTACTGTCCTGACATTTGGGGGATATCTGTACTGTTCTGACATTTGGGGATATCTGTACTGTTCTGACATTTGGGGGATATCTGTACTGTTCTGACATTTTTGGGGGATATCTGTACTGTTCTGACATTCTTGGACCTCAAGAAATTAGATTGGCTGTCAGTACTTCAGGATTGATCAATATTCAGATCTATACCATAGTTTGTGAACTCTATAACTTTCCTACAAACTAAATAATACATCCTAATTTGGGTTATTTTCACCAAAGACATGTAGCAGAATACATCTCGGCCTAAATTTATGAAGAACAATTATTTATTTGCAAACTTTTTATAACAGAAACAAAGAAAAACGTGTTTTTTTTTTTCAAAATTTTTGTTTTTTTTTGTTAATTTAGCAAAAAATAAAAACCCCAGCGGTGATTAAACACCACCAAAAGAAAGCTCTAGTTGTGCGAAGAAAATGATAAAATTTTAGGTTGTGTTGTATGACCGCGCAATTGTCATTCAAAGTGTGGGAGCGCTGAAACCTGAAAACTGGCCTGGGGCAGGAAGGGGGTAAAAGTGCCCGGAATTCAAATGGTTAAAAAGTATCTCCACTTTTGTTGAAAAAAAAAACATTCCCCCCTGGATGATCTATGTACATTGCAGGGATTTTAACGAACTTTGTAGCAGATTCCTACCTTTTGTTATTCTGAAAGAATAGTGGTTTGTCTGTGTCCATGTGCAGATGAAATCTATATTGGAATGGTTTTATTATCAATCAGCTGCTGCACGTGCAGGGCTCTAATGAGGAAAGTGGCAGGGTCTGCATCCCTTTAGATGTGATCTCACCATAAATGACATTTTTGTTACAGGGGATGCTCAAAATCTGACTTGTGTCTCATGCAGGCCATACATGGTTCAAATTCCGAATGATTTTTCATCCGAAAATCGAAAACGTTGTTTGCTCGGTAATCCGATGGTGCCATCAATGATTTCGAAAATCGGCCGACCGAGTCATAACGTTCTCCCATATAACAGGCGAAACTTCTGTTTGTTCCAGGTCACAGCTCATGCGCATATTCTTTTCGGAAAAACGATCGTACGATTTGACCTTCATTGAGTGCACAATCGGTCGTTTTTCATGAATTTTCCAACATGCCCGATCACCAAAAAGGGGAGGAACCACGAAAATCAGCCGGTGCCATTGACTCACTAACAGAGCGAATATCGGGACGATTATTCTTAGGTCCGATCTTTGGATGAAAAATTGGTCGACTTTTGACCCATGTAGGGCCAGCCTTAGTGCACAGTTTTTGGGAAAATCAGTGAGCCAATCACACAAGCAGGAAATGAAATTTTTTTTTGGGTGGGGGGGTGTGCTGTACACCATCTATCTACAGAACGCCTCCAGGTTGCCATATTGCATTTTACAGAAAATTACAGAGCAGGGGCGGACTGACAGCTCAGGGGGCCCCCGGGCAATAGGGCATCATGGGGCCCCTGTGTCCTTGCCCAAACTCAAAAAAGCCTATGAAAAAGGTACCAGGGGCATCTCATGGGGCCCCCTACTGACCCCGGCCCTCGGGCAGTGCCCAAGTTCCCCAATGGTCAGTCCACCCCTGTTACAGAGTTGCAGTTTGAAAAGGAAAGGTACATTTTAATCAATTCAATTACAATCTGACTTTTGTCGCAGTTGTATACGCTGTATTATTTATTTTTATTTTTTGCAAATTTTTTTTTTCCCACAAAAGTGGAGTTATACTTTAAACCCCCCAAACAATTGTATATTTTCCAAAAGGAGAGGCTCTGTTTCATAAAATGACCTCCAGCAGGAGAAAGAATAGGATTGGGTTATACATACAATATGAAGACACGCAAATAAGAATTTGAAGGCCGATGTAGCGGGCCCTCCACAGGAGTCATTAACCACTTCCAGTCCGGACACTTTCCCCTCCTTCCAGTCCGGACACTTTCCCCTCCTTCCAGTCTGGACACTTTCACTCCCTTCCAGTCCGGACACTTTCCCCCCCTTCCAGTCCGGACACTTTCACCCCCTATTCCAGTCCGGACCCCCTTCCAGTCCGGACACTTTCCCCCCCCCTTCCAGTCCGGACACTTTCCCCCCCTTCCAGTCCGGACACTTTCCCCCCCTTCCAGTCCGGACCCTTTCCCCCCCTTCCAGTCCGGACACTTTTCCGGACACTTTCCCCCCCCCTTCCAGTCCGGACACTTTCCCACCCCCTTCCAGTCTGGACACTTTCCCCCCCTTCCAGTCCGGACACTTTCCTCCCCCTTCCCAGTTCCGGACACTTTCCCCCCCCCTTCCAGTCCGGACACTTTCCCCCCCCCTTCCAGTCCGGACACTTTCGCCCCCTTCCAGTCCGGACACTTTCACCCCCTTCCAGTCCGGACACTTTCCCCCCCTTCCAGTCCGGACACTTTCCCCCCCCTTCCAGTCCGGACACTTTCACCCCCTTCCTCTCCGGACACTTTCCCCCCCTTCCAGTCCGGACACTTTCACCCCCTTCCAGTCCGGACACTTTCACCCCTTCCAGTCCGGACACTTTCCCCCCCTGCCTGCCCAGGTCAATTTTCAGCTTTCAGCGCTATCACACTTTGAATGACAATTGTGCGGTCATGCAACACTGTACCCATATGAATATTTTTGTATTTTTTGAGACAGATAAAGCTTTATTTTGGTGGTATTTATTCACCACTGGGATTTTTATTTTTTTTGCTATATAAATGAAAAAGTCCAAAAATTTTGAAAAAAAGTGTTTTTCTTATAAAATTTTGCAAATAAATAATTTTTCTTCATAAATCTTGGCCAAAATGTATTCAGTTATCTTTTTAGTAAAACAAAATAACCCAAATTAGTTTATAACCAAAAATTATAATTTTTTAAAAAAAATTTTTACATTTGTATTTTATTTTTTTTATATTATTATTTATGTTTTTTTAACATATTGTCACCCTAGCAGTACAGTGTCACCATGGTGAAACTGTACTACTTGTGGGGGATGATGAAGATTTTTTTTTTTTTTTTTTTTACACTGATTGCTTTTACACCCATAAAGGCTGTAAAAGCAATCATTTCTCCTTCTCTCTAGCTGCATTCTTGCAGCCATTGAGAACTACTGAGTGAGCTGTGATTGGTCACAGCTTGGCACATGGTACAAGGCTGTTGTGAATAGCCCTGTACCATGTGACCTCTGTGATCATTCACAGATTTTGCACGTAGTAAGCAATGATGTCAGAAGTGACCTCTTACTACTCTGCATGTGATCACTGATTGGCCAATCAGTGATCACATGATCGGGAGCTTACACAAAGGTCCCGTACAGCGATCGGTGTTCCGCTGCGTCCTCTGGACACAGCGGGCACCAGATCGCGGTGTGCCGCATGCTCCCTGGGAGCGTGCACAGGCTAAAATGGCGGGCACCGTTTATGAACGGCAACCCGCCCCTGCACTGCTCCCGTCAGCCCGTTTTATGTACATGGGCTGAACGGGAAGTGGATAATACAATCAATAATTCTCCGATAGATCTCAGACCTGGCCTAGTGACAGCTAACAATACTGCTAGGCTTGCGTCACACCTACAGGTTCAACCAAGCGTAGACGCCTTTTGGACGGACAATTCATTTCAAGGGCTGCTCTACGCCGGAGAAACGTGGAAAAGAATGTCTCTGACTCTTCGAAAAATGCGCCGTACTGAACCGCACGGTCCTGCGGCACTAGGTGGTTTGGCGCATGTGAAGACGTGCGCATTTACAGAGATGCATGGGGGTGTCATTAGTCATGTGTATATTAAATGCGTTTCTGACGCTCAAAGATGTGAACTTAGCCGTACTGAGGACTAGACTGCTCCAGAACGGGAAATGGAAGTTCCAAGTGTTCTATTTGGAATGCTGAACCCCCCGTGAGAGAGAATATTCTTTATATGTACTGGGAATGGGCATTGGACCCTTCCTAGATATGTCGCTCTGTGGAGGAACATCTAGAACAATGGTCAGAAATGATAGTTTGATGGTAAATGTGTATTCAGTTCCACGCATGTCATTTACTAAAAGTGGAGCACTCGAAATCTGGTGCAGCTGTGGATGGCAGCCAATCGGCTTCTAACTTCAGCTTGTTCAATTAAGCTTTGGGAATAAAACCTGGAAGATAATTGACTACCATGCACGGCTGCACCAGATTTTGCACTCTCCAGCTTTGTTAAATAACCCCCACTATGTCTCACAGCGATCCTGCCTGTGTGCTTCAGGGTTTCTGTATGTGATCAGATCTGGTGAACTGAAAGTATAAATGGAATATTTCTGTTTAAAGGTCCAAGAACTTTCCGCTAAACAGGGCCTGGATTTCACACACAGCAGTGCAAGCCTCGTCCAGTTTGACCCAGGTAACATTTATCTATCTATCTACTGTATATCTATTGATCTATCAGTTTGCCTTGTCATCTATTGTGTCTATCAACTTACAGTATCTATCTAATCTAATTATTTATCTATCGGTCTACATATCTAATTATATACATATCTAATATTTGGCACTATATAAATCCTGTATTAATAATAATTCAATGTCTATCTATTCATATCTATCTATCTATCTATATCTATCTATCTATTTATCTATCTATCTATTTATCTATCTATATCTATCTATCAATCTATCTATCTATCTATCTATCTATCATCTATCTTTGTTCTGTCTCTCCAATCTAAGCATTGATAGTGTGATCTCTGTAACTTACAGTTGTGATGAGATAGCGATAACTTCAACCTCAGTTGGATACCGCAGTCAGTGACTCAATTGATAAGACATCTTGTAGATCTTGTGAAGTTTATTCCATAAACTGAGAGAATCTTACAACAATGAACATTCGATAGGTCAAAAGATCATAATGTTTCCTGCTCCATGACATGAGGTTAGAGATGCAATGCAGCATTCCTGGGAAAGGGGAGGGCTATCTATACAGCATTAACTAAACCAAAGGAAAGGGAGGAGCAGAAGCAAAATATAGAAACACTTAAAGGCATATCTATCTATCTATCTATCTATCTATCTATCTATCTATCTGTCTATCTATCCATCTATCTATCTATTCATATCCATCTATTCATATCTATCTATTCATTGGCCCCGCCCTTTGCAGCTATAACAGCTTCAACTCTTCTGGGAAGGCCGTCCACAAGGTTTAGGAGGGTGTCTATGGGAAGGTTGGACCATTCTTCCAGAAGCACATTTGTCAGGTCAGGCACTGATGTCGGGGGAGGAGGCCTGGCTCACAGTCTCCGCTCTAATTCATCCCAAAGGTGTTCTATGGGGTTGAGGTCAGGACTCTGTGCAGGACAGTCAAGTTCCTCCACCCCAAACTGGCTCCTCCATGTCTTTATGGACCTTGCTTTGTGCACTGGTGTGCAGTCATGTTGGAACAGGAAGGGGCCATCCCCAAACTCTTCCCACAAAGTTGGGAGCATGAAATTGTCCAAAATATCTTGGTATGCTGACGCTCTCTCTCTCTCTCTCTCTCTCTCTCTCTCTCTCTCTCTCTCTCTCTCTCTCTCTCGATATGCCTATCTTATCTAATATTTGGCACTATATAAATCCTGTATTATAATGAAAATAATATCTGTCTTATCATCCTTCTATCTATCTATCTATCTATCTATCTATCTATCTATCTATCTATCTATCTATCTTTTCATCCTTCTATCTCTCTATCTATCTATCTATCTATCTATCTATCTATCTATCTATCTATCTATCTATCTTTTCATCCTTCTATCTATCTGTTCCAATATGTTTATCTACATGTCTCTATCTAATTCTATTACAAGAGAGCCCCCACTTGTTCTGGATTTTAAATTCACTTTATATTTTGGCGCATTCTGTGGTGGGCAAGAAGAGGGGCAGGAATGATTGTAAAAACTCCATAAAATGGATAGCTCTTTGTGCTGTTATTCACTTATATTCTCACCCTGTCAGAGCAGACAATCCAGTCCGATGTCAGATAATTAGGCCCCCATGGAAGCCGGCTGGTTTTCTGAAGTAACACTGGGGTAGATTTACTAAAACTCTGCATAGTAACCAATCAGCTTCTAACTTCAACTTGTTCAATTAAGCTTTCACAATAAAACCTGGAAGCTGACTGGTTTCTATGCAGAGCTGCTCCAGATTCTGTGTGCTCAAAATTTAGTAAATTCTGTCTGGGCTGTTTCAGAGGCAAGGGGTGCTGGGGAGTGCTTGGGAGGTCAATTCATGCTGGCTGCTGGAGATCTATTGCTACTGGAGGGGATCTATTTTTGCATGGTGGTCTATTGTTGCTGGCGAGGTCTGTTGTTGCTGGTGGGGGATCTATTTCTCTACTTTTGAGGGAGGGGTCTATTGTTGCTGGCTTCAGGAGAGCCTATTAATGCTGGCTGCTGGAGGATCTGTTGTTGCTATTGGGGGTCTATTGTTGTTGGGGTGGTATTTTGTTGCCAGGGTCCATTGTTGCTGGAGGGATCTATTGTTGCTGGAGGCGGGATCTATTTTACTGCTTTTCTTGTTATCATTAACACATTCCATACAAATTACTTATCACCATAAAATGATAATTGGCTCTGTTTTTGCTATAAGGATCTGTATTGGGAGGTGGGTAGGGGGTCAAACCAAGGGATGGTGCTCGAAGATGGGTAGGGGCAGAAACACGTAGCGATTTAGAAGGGGAGAGTTCCTCCTGCACCTATTCTCTGAGAAAATAAAAATATATATATGTATGTATATGTGTATATATATATATATATATATATATATATATATATATATATATATATATACAGGATTTATATAGCGCCAATAGTTTGCTCAGCACTTTACAATATAACGGGAGACAATACAGCAACAATACAGTTCAATACAAGAGGGATAGGAGGGCCCTAATCCTTGGAGCTTACAATCTAAGAATAATAATATATAATACAATCAAAATAATAATAATAATATGTATGTATATATATGTATATATATATATATATATATATATATATATATATACAGTTGCAAGAAAAAGTATGTGAACCCCTTGGGATTATGTGGAGTTTTGCATGAATTGGGCATAAAATGTGCTCTGAACGTTATCTAAGTCACAACAGTAGAAGAACACAGTCTGCTGAACAGAATACTACACAAACATTAGATGTTGCCATGGTTTAATTGCACATAACATGTAAACATTCACAGTGCAGGGAGGAAAAAGTATGTGAGGCCCTAGCTTAATGACTTCTCCCAGAGCTAATTGGAGCCAGGAGTGAGCCAACCTTGACTCCAATCAGTGTGATGATATTGGATGTGTTGCTAACAGCTGTCCTGCCCTTAAAAAACACACACCTGTTTTGGGTTTACTGGTTTCAAGAAGCACTGTCTGATGTGAACCATGCCTCGCAGAAAAGAGCTCTCAGAAGACCTACGATCAAGAATTGTTGACTTGCATGAAGCTGGAAAGGGTTACAAAAGTATCTCCAAAAGCCTTGATGTTCATGTGTCCACGGTAAGACAGACTGTCTACAAATGGAGAAAGTTTAGCACTGTTGCTACTTTCCCTAGGTGTGGTCGTCCTGTAAAAATGACTGCAAGAGCACAGCGCAGAATGCTGCATGAGGTAAAGAAGAATCCCAGAGTGTCAGCTAAAGACCTACAGAAATCTCTGGCACATGCTAACATTTTTGTTGACACATCTACAATAAGGAAAACATTAAACAAGAATGGAGTACATGGGAGGACACCACGGAGGAAGCCATTGCTGTCCAAAAAGAATATTGCAACACGTTTGAAGTTTGCAAAAGAGCACCTGGATGTTCCACAGCACTACTGGCAAAATATACTGTGGACAGATGAAACCAAGATTGAGTTGTTTGGGAAGAACACACAACACTATGTGTGGAGAAAAAAAGGCACAGCACACCAACATCAAAACCTCATCCCCACTGTGAAACATGGCGGAGGGAGCATCATGATTTGGGGCTGCTTTGCTGCCTCAGGGCCTGGACGGATTGTTGTCATTGATGGGAAAATGAATTCCAGAGTTTATCAAGACATTTTGCAGGAAAACGTACGACCATCTGTCCGCCAACTGAAGCTCTGCAGAGGATGGGTGATGCAACAGGACAATGACCCAAAGCATACAAGTAATTCAACAAAACAATGGCTGCAACAGCACAGAATACGCCTTCTGGAGTAGCCCAGTCAGAGTCCTGACCTCAACCCGATTGAAATGCTGTGGCATGACCTTAAGAGAGCGATTCACACCAGACATCCCAAGAATATTGCTACACTGAAACAGTTTTGTGAAGAGGAGTGGTCCAAAATTACTCCAGATCGTTGTGCAGGTCTGATCTGCAACTACAGGAAACGTTTGGTTGAGGTTATTGCTGCCAAAGGAGGGTCAACCAGTTATTAAGTCCAAAGGTTCACATACTTTTTCCTCCCTGCACTGTGAAATGTTTACATGTTATGTGCAATTAAACCATGGCAACATCTAATGTTTTGTGTAGTATTATGTTCAGCAGACTGTGTTCTTCTATTGTTGTGACTTAGATGACGTTCAGAGCACATTTTATGCCCAATTCATGCAAAACTCCACGTAATCCCAAGGGGTTCACATACTTTTTCTTGCAACTGTATATATATGGGCAGCACAGTGGCTAAATGATTAGCACTTCTGCCTGGCAGTACTAGGGCTATCAATTCATATTCCAACTACGGCACCACCTGCTTGGAGTTTGCATGTTCTCCCTGTGCCTGTGTGGGTTTCCTCCGGGCACTCCGGTTTCCTCCCACACTCCAAAGACATGCTGGTAGGTTAATTGGCTCCTGTCTAAATTGTCCCTAGTATGTGTATGTATGAATGTGAGTTAGGGACCTTAGATTGTACGCCCCTTGAGGGTCAGGGACTGATGTGAATGTACAATATATATGTAAAGTGCTGCATAAATTGACTGTGCTATATAAGTACCTGAAATAAATTATATATATATATTGTACATTTGAAGAGTAGATGCAATATACAATACAGATATACATTGGTGACTGGTTGTCTTCGATGGTGGGGAGAGTGAGACAGGACCTGAAACGAAAATCCCCATTAGGAAATGTGATTTTGTCTCCCCCCCCCACTCCCAAAACTGGAAGGAGGGGGGTAATAAAACATAGCTAAGGCCAGCCATGGGTCCATGTTGCAGCACCGGCCCAGATGGCATTTAAAGAAGGCGGTTTTGATTTGGCCGGTGTTCTTTCCCCTGGAGTTCAGCAGGGAATGTGAAATTCATTACATTTGTAGCGAGAGGATCACTTAACTCATCAGGATTAGGAGGAGACATCTGTTTTGGAGAGCGCGGTAATAATGTGGCACAGGTGTGATATGAAAGGCGGCACAGAAAGTGTGGGAGAAATCCATAAACTGAGCGCCGGGCGGAATAAATTGTCACTCGCCGCCGGTCGGATGACGATCTGCTAATAGTAGAGCTGCTGAGCGGGTTGTGTATTAAAGATGAACGGAGCTTGGGGCTTGTTAGAGAATCTGTTTCTGTACAGGAAAAATTAGCAATGAACAGGATATGACAGAATGCATCCCCAATTCCAAAAGAGTTGGGACGCTGCGCAAAATGAATAAAAAACTCATGTGCAAATCTCAGTCATAAACTCATATTGTATTCACAATAGAAAATAGAAAACCTAGCAAATGTTTAAATTGAGAAAATGGATCATATTAACCTCCCTGGCGGTATTCCCGAGTGTAGCTCGGGGTAGAGTTTCAGTACCAAAAGCGGTGACCCCGAGCTACACTCGGGAATACCATGCAGCGTTGCTCAGGGAGTCCCTGCAGAGCTTACCTTGTCCTGCGCTCCCGCGATGTCCCCCTTGCAGCGTCCCCCGGCCATCTCCTCCGGCCGATGCCGGCTTCCGTGTTCCTGTCCCTGTGACGTCGCGATGTACGGGCGCCGGAACCGGCGGCAAATTTGACATTTTTTAAAAATGTCATTTTTTTAAAAATGATTATTACATAGTATAACATTCCTGTATCAAACCATTTCACATACATTTTGTCCCGAGTGCTTTGTCCGGCGCCCTGCCTGCATTTTTACTGTTCTTTCTGCCTGGAAACTGAGAAACGTCCATGGCGTCCAAAAAGCGTCCCTTTAGGTCAAAAGCGGTTTTAGACCGGCTAGAGAACAGCGATAGTAAATCAGAACCACTTGCAGAATTGAGTGATAATGATTCGTGGGGGAAATTCTTCATCAGACACTGAAAACGATTTTGCGACTTTGCTCAGCGATGTGAGAACTTGGCGCTCTATTTCACATTTCAGTGTTTTTGGTTTGATTATATTATTGAATTCAATTTATTATTATTATATTATTATTTTTTATGATTATTTATTACATTATAATTTATGATTTTGTGTTTCAAGTTTTATCATATCCAGAATGTTTACTAGACTTTGTTCGGACAGATTTCAGTGAGTTTTTCCTAAATTACAGGCCTACAATAAAAAAAAATACATATTTCCATGCAAAAAAATTACCGCTTTCAGCACCAAAAATCTGAAATAATCATACTGCCAGGGAGGTTAAGAAAAAAAGAGGGTAATTTTAAAATTGATGGCAGCAACATGTCTCAAAAAAGTTAGAGCAAAGCCATGTTCAGCACATGTTCATCATCTCCTCTTCTTTTAACAACACTCTGTAAACGTCTGGGAACTGAGATCAGTTGCTGGAGTTTTGGGAGAGGAATGTTGTCCCATTCTTGCCTGATATAGGATTGTAAATGCTCAACAGTCCGGGGCCATTTTTTATTTGTTTGAGCCAAATATTTTCAGTTGGTGAAAGGTCTGAACTGTAGGCAAGCCAGTTAAGCACCCGGACTCTTCTACTATGAAGCCATGCTTTTCTCATAGATGCAGCATGCGGTTTAATATTGTCCTGCTGAAATTTGCAAGGTCTTCCCTGAAAAACATGGCATCTAGATGGGAGCATATGCTGCTCTAAAACCCGAATATACACTATATTGCCAAAAAATATTGGGCTACTTGTCTTCACACGCACATGAACTTTAATGGCCCCCCAGTCTTAGTCCGTAGGGTTCAGTATAGAGTTGGCCCCGCCCTTTTGCAGCTATAACAGCTTCAAACTCTTCTGGGAAGGCCGTCCACAAGGTTTAGGAGGGTGTCTATGGGAAGGTTGGACCATTCTTCCAGAAGCACATTTGTGAGGTCAGGCATTGATGTCGGGGGAGGAGGCCTGGCTCGCAGTCTCCGCTCTAATTCATCCCAAAGGTGTTCTGTGGGGTTGAGGTCAGGACTCTGTGCAGGACAGTCAAGTTCCTCCACCCCAAACTGGCTCCTCCATGTCTTTATGGACCTTGCTTTGTGCACTGGTGCGCAGTCATGTTGGAACAGGAAGGGGCCATCCCCAAACTCTTCCACAAAGTTGGGAGCATGAAATTGTCCAAAATGTCTTGGTATGCTGATGCCTTGAGAGTTCCTTTCACTGAAACTAGGGGGGCCAAGCCCAACCCCTGAAAAACAACCCCACACCATAATCCCCCCTCCACCAAACTTTACACTTGACACAATGCAGTCAGGCAAGTACCATTCTCCTGGCAACCGCCAAACCCAGACACTTCCATCGGATTACCAGACCGAGAAGCATGATTGATCACTCCAGAGAACACGTCTCCACTGCTCTAGAGTCCAGTGGTGGCGTGCTTTACACCACGGCATCCGACGCTTTGGATTGCACTTGGTGATGTAAGGCTTGGATGCAGCTGCTCGGCCATGGAAACCCATTCCATAAAGCTCTCTACACACTGTTGTTGGGCTCATCTGAAGGCCGCACCAAGTTTGGAGGTCTTTAGCTATTGACTCTGCGGACAGTTGGCGACTTCTGCGCACTGTGCGCTTCAGCATGCGCTGACCCCGCTCTGTCATGTGACGTGGCCTATCACTTGGCTCGGATGCAGCTGCTCAGCCATGGAAACCCATTCCATGAAGCTCTCTACGCACTGTTGTTGTGCTAATCTGAAGGTCACATGTTTGGAGGTCTTTAACTATTGACTCTGCAGACAGTTTGTGACTTCTGCGCACTGTGCGCTTCAGCATGCGCTGACCCCGCCCTGTCATGTGACGTGGCCTACCGCTTGGGGGCTGAGTTGCTGTTGTTCCCAGTTGCTTTCCACTTTGTTATAATCCCACTAACAGTTGAGCGTGGAATATTTAGTAGCCAGGAAATGTCACGGATGGACTTATTGCACAGGTGACAACCTATCACGGACCACGCTTGGAGTCACTGAGCTCCTGAGAGCGACCCATTCTTTCACCAATGTTTGTAGAAGCAGTCTGCATGCCTAGGGGCTTGATTGTATACACCTGTGTCCATGGAGGGGATTGGAACACCTGAATCCAGTGATTTGGAGGGCTGGCCCAATACATTTGGCAATATAGTGTATCTTTCAGCACTGATGGTACTGAACACAAGCCAAACAATATAATACTGTATACCATAATATAATATATGGTTTTTGTTTACATGAAATATTTGTTAATGATAATATACAGCAGCCCAGATCACATCACTCTCCATATACCAGGGACAGATCGGACTGGCTGTGATGTCCTTTGCTTCATATTTCAGTCCTGAAAGACATCCTCTCTTCCCGTAGCAGAGAGTTATGAGATGAGGTGTTATATATATATAGATGGTTGGCGGCACACTTTGTCCTAAATAAACATTTAACAAAGACAAGAATTAAATGTAATGTTCCTGTACAGAGCCCTAAATACAATTCTGTCTTAGCTGAATTACCTACGAAGTACTGTGTATGAGACAGATAGGCAGCAGATAGAAGGAGACATCTGTGCTTCCGTCCTTCATTCCTTCTTTCCCATTTGTCTTTCTTGTTTTTCTTCCTTTTTTCCTCCTTTTTTTCTTATTTCCTTTGTACCTTCCTTCCCTTTATTTCCCTTTAATTTCCTTCCTTTCTTTCTTCCCTTCCCTTTATATTCCTTCCTGCCTCCTTCACTCTATCTCTTTTATTTTTTTTTCCTTCCTTTGTATCTTTTCCCTTTTCCCTTTTCTTCCTTCCTTATTTTTTCTTATCCATGTCCTTTTTTTCTGTCTCCATTACTTTCCCTTTCCTCCCTACCTCTTTTCTTCCCTCTTTTTTTCCCACTCTTTCTTTTTCTTTCTCTTTTTATTTTTCTTATTTCTTATTTTTTTCCCTTTTTTCCTTCCTTTTTTTCTCCATAGCCTTTTATTTTTCTTATTCCATGTCTTTCTTATTCCCTTTCATTTCCTTTCTTTTTTTTTTCCTTCCTTTCTTCCCTTCTCTTTTATACACCTTTTTTCTACCTTGCCTTCACTTCTTGTCTCGTTTTTGTTTTATTTTGCTTTCCTTTGTTCTTTTTCCATTTCACCTATTCCTTCTGCTCTCCCCACTTTTCTTTAGTTCTCTTTTGATCTTATTTCTTCATTTCCCTTCCCTTTTTCTTTTCCCTTCCTTGCGTCTTTTTTCCATTCCCTTATTTTTATCCCTTTATTATTTTTCCTTCCTTACCTTCCATCCTTCCTTCCCTGCTTTTGTTTCCTACTTCAATTTTTCTTCTTACCATCCTTTCTCCTTCCCTCCTTTCATTTACCTTTCAGCCTTTTTTTACTTCATTCCTTCTTCACTTCTTTTTCTCCATTTCCTTTATTTTTTTCTCTTCCTTCATTCCTTTTCCTTCTTTCTTTCCTGCCTGCTTTCCTTCCTTCTTTCCTGCCTTCTTTTCTCCTGTTTCTTCTTTTTCCATAACTCCCCCCTCCCCCTTTTTGTCTTCTTTTTTTTCTTTCTTTCAAAAAATTCCCTCTGCCCTCCCTCCCTCCCTCCTCTTCCTCCCTCCTTATTCCTTCCTTCCCCTTCCTTCCTTCTTCCTTCCTTTTTTTCCTTTTCCTTCTTCCTTCCTGTCTTCATTTCCTATTTCATTTTTCTTCTTTTCCCTTTCCTAATCCCTTCCTTCCTCCATTGTTTTCTTCTCTTCTCTTCCTTCCTTCCTTCCTTCCTTCCTTCCTTCTTCCTTCCTTCCTTTCCTTCTTACTTTTATTCTTTCCTTCCTACTTCCTTCTTGTCTTCATTTCTATTTCATTTTTTTCTTCTTTTCCTCTTTCCTAATCCCTTCCTTCCTCCATTGTTTTCTTCTCTTTTCCTTCCTTCCCTTTCCTCCTTCCCTTTTCCTTTCCTTCTTACTTCCTTCCTGTCTTTCATTTCCCATTTCATTTTTTTTTCTTTTCCCTTTCCTAATCCCTTCCTTCCTCATTTTGTTTTCTTCTTCCTCTTCCCTTTATCATTTCCCTTTCTTCCTTTCCTCCTCCCTCACTCCTCATCCCTTTTTCTTTTTTCCTTCTCTTACATTTTTTTCTTTCCCTCCCTTCCTTCCTTTCCTTCCTTCCTTCTTCCTTCCTTTCCTGCTTTTTTTCCAACTTTTTTTCAGTTTTTCTTCCTGCCCTTTCTTTCTCCTTCCCTTTCATTTTCTATCCCGCCTTTTCTACTTCATTCCTTCTTCACTTCTTTTCTCCATATCTTTTATTTTTTCTTCCTTCATCCCTTTCCCTTCCTTTCTTCCTGCCATCTTTTTTCTTCTCCTGTTTTAATTCTTCTTCCTTAACTCCCCCCCCCCTTTTTTTTTTTTCTTCTTTCCTCTTCTCATTTTCTCAAAAATTCCATCCCACCCTTCCTTCCTTCCTTCTTTCCCCTTCTCTTTTTTTCTTCCTTCCTTCCTTTCCTCCTTCCTTTTTCCTTTCCTTCTTCCTTCCTTCTTCCTTCGTTTCCCATTTCATTCTTCTAACTTTCCCTTTCCTAATCCCTTCCTTCCTCCATTCTTTTTTCTCCTTCCTCTTCATTTCCTCCACCATTCATTTCCCTTTCTTCCTTTCCTCCTCCCTCGCTCCCCATCCCTTTTTCTTCTTTCCTTCTCTTACTTTTTTTTTCCATCCCTCCCTCCTTCCTTCCTTCCCCTTCTCTTTTTTTCTTCCTTCCATCCTTTCTGCCTTCTTTTTTCCTTTCCTTCTTCCTTCCTGCCTGTCTTCATTTCCCATTTCATCACTCCACCCCCCCCCCCCTTTCTTTCTTTTTTCTCTCATTTTTCTTTCTCAAAATTTCTCTTCTTTCTTTCTTCCTTTCTGCCAAGTAAACAACATATAATAATAATAAACAGATGAAAGTAGAAATCAGGCTGCTACTCTTTCGATCATCATTTCTCTTTGCACACCTTACCATACAATTCGTATATCCCCTGAATCCAGTGATCAGGATTTTCTATGATCCCATCAAGATTTCTACAATAAGATTCTCCTGCACCAACCCTCTACCTGCACCTAGAGCTTTGCCTGCTGGCGGACAGGTAATTTATAATCCAGTTCCTGGTACCGGGCTAATTTATTCATCTCGGTGAATTCCAGCAAAACAGAGCGTTCCAGTAAATCAAATCTCGGGACGGGGTCAGCGCTCAATTAAAGGTTGTCGTTTCAAAAAGGCATTTCATTAAAGGTAACATTAAATGGACGCACTCCTTTATAAAGCGACACGTGTCCGGGTTCAATCAAATTATTATGCTAAACAATTCACTATGGATTTTCTCCAGGAGAGATTCATAGACCAGCATTGGCTATACGGTGAAAAATATCACTTCAGGCTTTGGGTGCAGTGACCTCATACCATATTTTGGGTGCAGGAACAGTAATTAGTGATGTCACATTCATTAACATATTTGAAGAGTCATGATTTAGATTAGAATGTAGATTATGAATGACACCCCAACACACTACACATAGATGAGAGCCTTTCCTGCTTGCACAGTTGTACCGACTCCTCTCCTGGACTGAAATGGCTTACTCTGATTTCACTGCACACTGTGAGCTTCTCACAATGTGCATTAGAAGCTGCAGCAAGTCAGATAGAGCTCCGCCTCATTTCCTGGCCGAAGGACGCCCAGCATCATCTAGCTCTTTGCTCCCCGGCCTGACTGTCCCTGGCCCGCCCCTTTCATTTATTGGATTTTAGTTGGTGAGATCTCTTCTATAAGCTAGTGAGATGAGTCCATTTGATCAATTTGTGAGATCTCTTCTATCAGTTGAGGGGTCTCTTCTGTCTGTTGGTGAGATCTCCTCTATAAGTTGGTGAGTCTCCTCTATCAGTTGGTGAGTCTCTTTGATTAGTTGGTGAGATCTCTTCTATCAGTTGGCGAGATCTCTTCTAGATTTCTTCTATCAGTTGGCGAGATCTCTTCTAAATCTCTTCTATCGGCTGGTGAAATCTCTTCTAGATTTCGTCTATCAGTTGGCGAGATCTCTTCTAAATCTCTTCTATCAGTTGGTGAGATCTCTTCTAGATCTCTTCTATCGGTTGATGACATCTCTTCTAGATTTCTTCTATCAGTTGGTGAGATCTCTTCTAGATTTCTTCTATCAGTTGGTGAGATCTCTTCTAGATTTCTTCTATCAGTTGGTGAGATCTCTTCTAGATTTCTTATATCAGTTGGTGAGATCTCTTCTAGATTTCTTCTATCAGGTGATGACATCACTACTAGATTTCTTCTATCAGTTGGTGAGTCTCTTTGATTAGTTGGTGAGATCTCTTCTATAAGCCAGTGAGATGAGTCCTTTTTATCAATTTGTGAGATCTCTTTTATCAGTTGAGGGGTCTCTTCTGTCTGTTGGTGAGATCTCTTCTATAAGTTGGTGAGTCTCCTCTATCAGTTGGTGAGTCTCTTTGATTAGTTGGTGAGATCTCTTCTAGATCTCTTCTATCAGTTGGTGAGATCTTGTCTAGATTTCTTCTAACAGTTGGTGAGATGTCTTCTAGATTTCTTCTATCAGTTGGTGACATCACTTCTAGATTTCTTCTGTCAGTTGATGAGTTACCTTTATCAGTTGGGGAGTCTCTTTGATTAGTTGGTGAGATATCTTCTAGATTTCTTCTATCAGTTGGTGACATCTCTTCTAGATTTCTTCTATCAGTTGGTGACATCTCTTCTAGATTTCTTCTGTCAGTTGGTGAGTCACCTTTATCAGTTGGTGACCAGCGATGGGCTTGATGTTCAAGTCGAACTTAAGGTGCCGAACACATGAACGGCTGCGCCCAACAATGCACTGCACTCTGACAGTGCATTGTGATTGGCCAAAGCAAAGCACCTGACCACAGGTCAGATACCATACTTTGGCCAATCACAACACAATTGTCCCCGATCCCTTGTGATGTCATCAACAGGGGCATGCTGGGTCGATGATGTCACAAGTGGGTGGAGTCACCCGGTTGACATCTCTGGGTGGCCCTGTCTCTTAAATATTTAAGAACTGTCAGGCTGGTGGAGTTGTCAGATGGCTACAGCCAGCGTTGGGAGTGGAGCCTTTTTTTTTTCTTTTCTTGGGTTGGCTGTGGCAGTGGGCCTCATGATTGACGTTAGATCTACTTCG